GGGGGGGTAGAAAAAAATAGAAAACACAAATATCTTAACTCTCAAACATATTTATGACCCCACGCTAATCACTAGCACGCGTGTGTAACAACCAAGGGGGTCACAGTTCAGTAGTTGTTATCACACTAGACCCTCTATTTTAAAGGGTTATTTTAAAACCGAGATTTACAGTAAATATTTAACATTTTAATCAAATTATTGACATGATATAAACCAAGCCGTGCTGTGAATTGTTGTGAATGTAACCAACTTGTGTTTCGCGCGCTCATATAACCTTGTGCAGTTGTGCGCGCCGTAAAACTCTCACTAAAACTAATCTAAAACCCTCAATCAGGAGGCGCCTTCCTGATCCCCGACAGTATTCTACTTTACATTTCTCATTTACGGAGTTTTTTAAGACTTGCTCTGGTTTAGTCCCATCCTATTGATATTTAATAAATAACCATTCTGGGTTGAAAAGAATGTTGTTTATCGAGTATTTGAGCTGTAAAGGAGCTGAGCTCGTGCTTAAAATAAAATTCATTTCTTTATTTAATAAAGATAAAGAAAGGAAGATATAGTTGATATTATGGTAATTAAACATAATTGTAAGCTGCATGAAGAGTTTTGTAACATTTCCCTCTCAGAACGTCATGACTTCCTTTCCTCAAACAAATCTTGAGCAGGATACCAGTAATTTACTTTTGCTGAGCTCCATCAAAATTTAGTACATGTCCAGTAGCTACTTTTTTTTTTACCTCAAATTTCTTCAGCACCGGCCAAAAGTGTTCTCATTTACGAGTTAACTACATGTATAGTAACAACTTAAAGAATCTAAATACTCTGGCATTTTCCATTTCTACATTTCATGCTGCACATTTCACAGAACTGCAACTGGAACCTATAACATCTCATGTAAAAAAACAGAAATGGTTACGTGCGCTCATATGTCCTTATGCAGTAAAACACTTACCAACAAAATAATAAATAAAATAAATGTTTTAATCGGCGTCTGTGGTGTAGCGGTTAGACACTCTACAATGGCATGCAGAAGGTCTGGGTTCGATTCCTGAGTGAGGAACATTTCTATCGAGTATCTCGGTCTTTCTGCCGGGATACTGTATCCCTCTCATCCCGGGCTGACTAACAAACAGAGTCCAAGCCCACCTCCTAAATGATCTGTACAGTGTAGAATGGACGGGACATACCAACAGTAAAACAGACATGTTTGAAACAAAGAACATGAATAAAACAAGAACCTAGTAAAGTACAATGTGGAGAAAGACAACGGAAGATATTTACCTTTTTCATCCGCAGAGCCTCCAAGACGTCCTTGTCCAGGGTTTTGTACTGGGCAGCCTTCAACGCCATCATGGCTGGTCCTCGACAGACAGCAACTCACGCACGACACAGTCGGGCTGGGAACACTTCCAAACACTTGAACCGATGTGAAAACTTCAAGAAACCGAGGTAAACGTGAGCGAGAAAGTCGGAAACACTGAACAAAATGTTCTAACACTCAGATCCACACTGAACCAAAAGTTCTGAACAAAAAGTTCTGAAGACTCAAGATCCACACGGAACAAAATGTTCTGAAGACTGGCTGAGATGCGTAAGATGAACAAATCGTATTTCCAGAGCGTAAGATGAAATCACAAGAACTGTATCGAGCAGCAACGCTGAAATCGAACTGAAATAAAATGTTTTTGAGCTTGCTCCTTATATAGGGAGAGGTCTCAAACACCCTCGGGTATTAAAACTTGACCAATCAAAATAACGTGACAACATTTTCAATGGCCATTCATCAAAATTTAGAGGTGTGAAAAAACTCAGAGAGTCAGGTCGGCTGGCAGATACGTTTGTGACAACACACTAACGACCTCCATTGTCCCACACGCCCTTTGGTTTCTCCGATCTATGGAGGCCAGTAGAGGAAATATTTCAGTTTGATTGACAAGTTATTGAAGTGTTTTACGTGATGAAATGTCGTCATACAGGTGTGATGAGGTGTCTGTGAGTGTGGTCATTGTGGAAGTATTGCCGCGGGGC